TTGTGCAATGATGACAAGCCCCTCCCATTTCCTGACATACAAAGCAAGATATATAGAAAGGTCTGGTTTTATTAAAAATGCTGATGATACCAAATGTTGGCCAGGATGTGGAACAATGCGGGTAACTGTATATTGTTTGTGGGAGAATAAAAAGGCTGCAGGCACCTTGGTTTAAGAAACTCTGGTAGGTTTTTTTTTTCTTTAATAACAAAACTAAACGTACCCTTACCCTATGACCCAACAGTTCCATTTTTGTGTTGTGAGAACATTTCAAGAGAAATGACATATGGCCATGAAAAGACTTGTACAAGAGTGTTTATATACTGGCCTTATTCAGAACAGCCAAAAACTGGAAATGGCCCAAGTGCCCATCTGTACAAGGATGGATCAACCAGCCCCAGTATATTTAACGATACTTCCCAAACAGAAAAAGAGGTCAAATTACTGCAGCACACAACCACAGGATCAGTCTCAAACACATTATGCTGAGTGAAAGAAACTGTAAGCAAAAGAATGTGTACTATATGAATCCTTTTAAATGAAGTTCTAAAGCAAACAAAACTAATGTATAGTGGAACACACTTATAATAGTTTCCTCTGGGCATGGTGAAGGCGGAATTGACGGAGAAGAAGCTTGACAGCCTTCTGCAGTGGTGGGTATATTGTATATCTTCATAGGGGTTTGGGCACACAGGTGTGTGAGTGAGACTGATGCCAACTTGGACAAATCAGCCATGATGACGCGTCTGTGACCTGAAACCTTCTTAGGTGCACCTCTCCCTCCCCTGTTCTCTCCTTTCATTTAACCACATCCTTAAACACACCCTCAGGGCATAATGTCCTTGATTGCCCTGGAGATACCACTGTGACATAGGCCTATTCTTAAATATTCTCCTTTTGGGTGATCTCCCAACAAGTACTCCCAGCACCTAAGGGCTATAAAAGTAGGTCTTAGGGGGAGTGAGGTTGCAGACCGATCTTCTTTCCTTGGTTCCCTAAATAAATCATTTCTCGTCTCAATGAACTTCTTAGATTTTTTTCTCCTGTCACAGGGCTCCTTTGGCCTTTTTTATTTTATTTTTTTAAAAGATATTATTGATTTATTTGACAGGGAGAGAGAGTGCACCCAAGCAGGTGGAGTGGCAGGCAGAGGGAGAGGGAGAAACAGGCCCTGAGCAGGGAACCTGATGTGGGGCTTGATCCCAGGACCCTGGGATCACAACCTGAGCCAAACACATATGCTCAGCTGACTGAGCCACCCAGGTGCCCCTCCTTCAGCTTTTAGGAGTCTTGCTGCATATACCTCCCTTTTGCAGAACGACAGGTGTATATCCCTGTCAATACTCCGGGAATATACCCTTCAGGTTTGTGAATTCCATCATTGTAGATACATTTTACCTAAAAAGAAACCATCATGGGCAAATACTGAATTCTGGTTAATGATAGGGACGCTGAAAGGGAAGTTAACAGATATCTGCAACTTTGAGATACATTAAGATGACGGATGGCATGAAGAAAGAGGGAGGGAGGAGAAACTGGATAGGCGTGCAATGAAGCACAGTAAAATATTAATGGTGGAATACTGGCTGTACATACCAGTGTACATCATAAAATTCACTGTAAATTTTTTTTCCAGTTTTTTTGTCTTTGAAATTTTTCTAAATATCACGATGAAACAAGAGTTCTGGTCTTAGAACCATATGTAACAGAGCATAGTATAAGTTGGAAACAACTCTGCCAAACCAGATGTAAAAGGTAGACTCGAATCTTTCTTTTTAAAGATTTTATCTATTTATTCATGAGAGACACAGAGAGTGTGAGAGAGAGAGAGAGAGAGAGGCAGAGACACAGGCAGAGACAGAAGCAGGCTCCATGCAGAGAGCCTGATGCGGGACTCCATCCCGGGACTCCAGGATCAGGCCCTGGGCTGAAGGCGGCGCTAAACCACTGAGCCACCCAGGCTGCCCTTTTTCTTTCTTTCGCACACACAATCTCTGGTGTCTCTTTTGTGTCCTAATCTTCTTTTCTTATAAGAACACCAGTCAGGGGATCCCTGGGTGGCACAGCGGTTTGGCGCCTGCCTTTGGCCCAGGGCCCTATCCTGGAGACCTGGGATCGAGTCCCACGTCGGGCTCCCGGTGCATGGAGCCTGCTTCTCCCTCTGCCTGTGTCTCTGCCTCTCCCTCTCTCTGTCTCGCGTGTGTGACTATCATAAATTAAAAAAAAAAAAAAGAACACCAGTCAGATTGGATTAGGGCCCCCTCAATAGAATCATTTAACATAATTACGTCTTTATAGGCTTTGTCTCCAAATGCAGTCACATTCTGATGTCCTGGGGGTTAGGGCTTCAACACATGAATTTTGCGGGGAGGCAATTCAGCCAATAACACTGTCTTGGAGGACAGGGCTGCTTTGGACTTTCCCAGAAGAGGCAGGCTGTTTGGCAACCCCAGAGAAAAAACTGACTGGGGACATTCCTGACTATGTTTCTGAACTGGGAAGCTAACAGAAAACAATGCAGGAGCAAAGGTCAGTCATTCTCAGCAAATGTTCATACATACGTCAGTTATGGGACAGGTTCTCTGCCAGGTACTGGAAGTTAAAAGGAAACTTTACTGCAAAACAGATTGGGTCAGGTTGCGCATGTGTTGGTAATCAAAATAAATTTCCTTGAAGACGAATGCAACAGCAAATGAGCTTTCCTCTATTCCTTTTAAAAGTGTCTTTGTGTTGTTTCCCGGTTTATAATCAGAGGCAGGATTCAGGTTTTTACATTGCAAATAAATAGCTTCATTATCTTCACGTGAGATACTGGTTTGGTTGCCTTGATGTTTAGAACTAACCTTATATGGTTAAACCATCCCAAATGGTAGTACCTACTTGCTGCCTGTGGCTCTAGTCAAGAGAGAGCTCTGTAGTCCCAGTTAAGAAGGATTCTTGGAGATGTATTAGTCGGGGTAAGTAATACCAACTGCTGTAACAAATAGACCCAACCCAACACCAGTTCATTTCTTATTGAAGATTGAGACCAGTGAGGTTTGGTTGGGGGGAGGTGTTCTGCTTCATGATGTCACTGAGGGACCCAGGCTGCTCCCTTCTTGTTGCAGGGCCATCTACCCATGGTCGCTGAGGTCCCTGGCAAAGGAAAGTGAGAGAATGGGGAAAAGGTCCCTGTCCTCTTCACCACCCTGGCTTATGGGTAGTATACAGAGCTTTTGCATACATTCCACTGAAGAAAACTCTCCAATTAACAGGGCTGGGGAACATGGTTTAGTTGTGTGCCCAGGAAGAAGAAATGGTTTAGAGGAGCTTGGGCTGGTCTCTGCCACAAATTCCTAATCGTGGTTCCACCACTTCCCAGTGGGCAGCCCCGGCCTTGGACAAATTCATTAAACTCTCCAGGCTCCCTTTTTCCTCATCTGTAGAATGGCAGTGGTGACAGGATAGGGGTGATCGCAGGGTTGTTGGGAGATCAAGGTAACATCTTACTCAGCTTGCACTGCTATAACAAAATCTCATAGACAGGGTGACTTAAAGAACAGGACTCTATTTCTCACAGTTATGAAGACTGGAAGTCCAAGCTCAGGGTGCCTGTTGGGTTGGTGTCTGGTAAGTGCACTCTCTTTGGCTTGCAAATGGCTGCCTTCTTGCTGTGTGTGTCCTTATATGGTCTTTCCTCCATGTGGACAGGTGGAGAGAGAGAAGAGGCGATCTCTCTAGTGTCTCTTATGCTCATAACCTCACCTAAACCGAATTATTTTCCAAAGGCGCCATCTCCAAATACTGTGCCATTGGGGATTAGGGCTTCAACAAACGTAGTTTGTGGGGGGACACAGTTCCATCTATGGCAGAGATTGGTACATGTAGAGCACTGAGTGCCCAGCACAGAGCTAGTTCAGTAAACATCCTGCTCCAAATCAAAAGCACTGACCATATCTGGAAGGGTGTTTACACTCATAAAGCTTCTTACGGTTTATAATATATTCTCACCCTCAACATTTTCTACTTGGAACCTCTTAGCAGCCCTGTGAGGTGGACTTTTTCCAGATGACAAAACCAAGGAAAGGCTGGGCGATTTTCCAAAGTCACATGCACTTAAGCAGTTAAGCCTCCTGACTCAGTCCAATGTTCTTCCTCTCTCATATTCTGAGGTCATAGTCACTACCTTCAGTGCCATGTGGTTCCCTGGACCCATCCCAAGGCTGCTGAGAAGCTTGACGAGAGAGTCTGAGCTAAGAGAATAGATGAGCCTACCTTGGGTTTCCTACCTTGGGCTTTCATGGGTTGTTTCAGTGTATTTTTGTCCTACATGCTAAATTTCCTCTAGGGACAGACTTACTGACTTAGCTCTCTGTGAAAAGGCAGCTCCATGCTTCCAGAAGTGAATACCAAGTGTCCAACTCCTGAAGTTATCAGGAGGGGTGGCAATAGGGAAGTACCCAAAATCAGGATTTCTCCATCACTTGTGGCCTAGCTCATGGTAGGTCCAAAGAGAGAGTAAAGAGTAAACTGTTTCCATTTAAATCATTGCTCTGGCTCATTTTAGACATCAGTGAGACTGGCCATCAGAAGGGCCTAATTGCTACTATCAGTTAAGAAACATTGGCTCATTTGCTATATCTAGCCAATAAGTGTTTTTCAAAAATTAACTAATCTTCGAAGAAGCATTTTTATTTTTCGGCTATTCTGCTTTTGCTTGAGAATGTCTTTAGATTTGAGAAATCCAGGGTAAGACATAAAATCCTCTGTTTTCTCAACATTTACCTGTATGAGCTTTCCATCCTTGTTTGTTTATCTAGGGTTATGCATAGATGAGAAGACCTCCTCTAATTGATGTGTGCGTATGAGCAAACGTATAAAGCATGCTTCACTCGTTAATGATCTCATCTGTGTGTGAAGGGAAGAAGTGGATCAGTCATCAGGGGATCAGGTGGGGGAAGCTGGTGAATTTTGTATCAAGATGAGAAGGGATTGGACATTTGGTGGGGGCAGGATATAGCCTCACTCCCAAGTCAGTTTACTGCCTTTCATTCAGCCAGACATGGCCTTTCATCCTGGAGCTTTCTGGAAGGTTGGCTAGGGTTATGTGCCCTGGAGCCTATCAAAGAATGGGGCCTCCTGCCAATGAGGGGAGCTGACATGCAGGAGGCAGGGTTACAGCGTGACCAGACCTGTCATCAGAATGAGTTGGTAGCACTGAGCCAGATGTAGGTCAGGTAGCCTAGGGCAGAAGACAGTCTTTACTTGAAGCCTGAAGCCAGCCTTCCTGATGAACCAACACATCAGCTGAAGACCACGGGACAGGAGGGGAACCATGGTCTGGGTATCTAAGATTAACTTGACTTAGTCAAAGCAAAAATATCTGTGCTCTGTTAAGTTGTTCCTTTTATGCTTTCCTATTTTTTTGCTTTTGCATTAGACTTTCAACTGGGGCTTCCCCTTCCTTTAGAACCAGGTAAAATGGATGGAAACCTTTTGTTTTCATGGCCCCTTTGGATGTTTAAAGCTGTACCTTTCATGTTTGCATATCTATAGGGGAGGAAGGTGTGCTGGCTTTCTGAGAACAGAAAACTCTACCCCATGCTTGATTTCCACACACATCTGCAAAAATCCTGGTGAGTTTAGTAGACCTTCCTGGAAGTTTGGGAGTAGGCATTGAGGGAGCCAGGAGGTGAAGGGTTGTATCTTGCAGAAATGCATCCAGAATATGAGGCATCTCCTTTCAGAAAATGTTCTTCAGTGACCCCAGCTGTGCTGTCCATTTACTCCCAACCTCTCCATCTTTTTGGCTCTTTTGCTTGTTCCCATATCTCTCACCTTTTCTTTCAGTGGCCAAACAACCCATTTTTCTCTGTCTCATGCACAGCAGCCTCCCTGTTCTGTGAAGTTGAAGTCCCACAGACTCATTTAGTCCAACTTGGCCTGACAAAGGAGTTCCAGCATCAGTCAGAGCTCTGGCGCTTGCTGTGTACTCTTGCTTTTCAATTTCACTTCTCTGAGAAAGGTCCTTTAGGAAATCCAAACTTGCTCAGTCAAACTAAATGGGTCAGGGCAGGATTGCTGGTGGGATTGTGTGTGTGTTTGTGTGTGTGTGTGTGTGTGTGTGTGTGTGTGTGTGTGTGTGTGACCCAGCATCATGCTGGCCACCATTCTGGGGTGTGCCTAGAGAGAGGATGAGGTGGCTATTGGGGAGCCCACCACTGGATTGAGGGTGGAGAGGTGCAGCTCCTTCCCAGTTGGCACAATGGTTTTGCTGGTGCTCCAGAAGCTCTCCTGGGAGAGGGAATATGTTCTAGACACATCTACCCAGACAACAAACTTGCCCTGAAGTGTTTTTTTTTAAATAGACTTTAATTTTTTAAGGCCTTTTTAGGTTCATAGCAAGATTGAGAGGAAGATAGAGATGTTTCCTATGCCCTTGTTGCCCCCACACACCCACTGCCTCCCCTACTATCGACCTCCTCCACAGAATGGTACATTTATTACAGTGGATGGGACACCTGGGTGGCTTAGTGGTTGAGCATCTGCCTTTGACCCAGGGTGTGACCCTGGAGTCCCCCGATTGAGTCCCATATTGGGCTCCCTGCGAGGAGCCTGCTTCTCCCTCTGCCTGCGTCTCTGCCTTTCTTTCCATCTCTCATGAATAAATAAATAAAATCTAAAAAAAAAAAAGGCATTTGTTACAGTGGGTGAATCTATATTGACACATCATGATCACCCAAATTCCAATAGGTTACATCAGAGTTCACTCTTGGTGTTGTACATTCCATGGGTTTGGGCAAGTTTACAATGACTTGTATCCACCATTACACAGAGTAGTTTCCCTGTCTTAAAGATCCTCTATACTCCACCTATTCATGCCTCTCTCACTTTTGCCCCAAACTTTTCATCTTAGAAATGCATTTCAAGTTTGACTTTCATTCATAAGTGCATATTCATGTTTATATTAACATAAAAATAATGTATTCTTCAGGTTTGCAGTGTTTATTGTATATTTATTCTGTCTACTATGTGCCAGGCACTGTACTAGGCTCTGGGAATTGAAGGCAGGCGTGACTAATGTGGAACTTGGGATCTAAGTAGAGAGATGTTAGTCAGCCTGCCAACAGAAAACACCACAGCTCTGGTTTTTAATTTAGAGGCTGAATACTTTTAGGGGTCTGAAAAACCAGGTTACTAAGTGCTATTTTACTCCCTTCTCCCTTGCAAAGTTTTTCTGTAGCTATTCCAACAAGTCTCAGAGGAGGCACTTAGGAGATGTTGGCTGAATGAGTGAATAAAGGGATAAGTGTATGGATTATAAAGTTTGACTCTAATTCTCATCTAGGACTGTGATGGTTAATTTTATGTGTCAACATTACTGTCCTGAGGGATGTCCAGGTAGCTGGTAAAACATTGTTTCTGGGTATATCTGTGAGAGTGTTTCTGGAAAAGATTAACATCTGATTTAGTTGATTAAGTAAAGAGGTCAGCCCTCACCACTACAACTGGGCATCATCCAATCCACTGGGGGCCCGAATAGAACAAAAAAGGCAAAGGAAGTGTAAATATTTTCTCTCTTGAGCTGAGATGGTCATCTCTTGCCCTCAGACATCAGAGCTACTCGTTCTTATTCTTGGGACTCCTGGATTTATAGCAGTGGCCCTGATCCTTTGGTCTTTCACCTCAGCCTGGGACTTATACCATGGGCTCTCCTGGCTCTCTGGCTTTTGCACTTGGACTGAATTGCACCACACGATTTCCTGGTTGTCCAACTTACAGCAGATTGTGAGACTTTCTGGCCCCAATAACTGCATGAACCAACTCTTGGAATTAATTAATCTTCTCTTGTCTATCTGTCCTTCTCTCTTTATATATCTATCCTATTGGTCTGTTTCTCTGGAAAACCCTGCCTAATATAAGGAGTTTGTTATAACCAGTCTGAGATAGAGATGAAATCTGAAAACCCCGGTGCTTTGATGATCTTTGGAGATGATTTAGCTTAACCCCATAGTTGGAGCTCAAGGAGGATGAGGCCTAGAGAAATAACACAGGCGTGAACTATCTGGGCTAGAATGGACAAGATCCCAAGTTCTTGGGAGGCATTGTGGACCCAAATCCACTCCCCCTGCTGTCTATCCTTTCAGGCACATGCAGATGACTGGCATCCCCACTTGACACAGATGTCAACAAACATGACAATGCATTCATCTGATAGGGATCATCATCACTGCTGTTTCCAGAGCCAGAGTTAACAAACGCTAAGGTAATAGCGTGGATACTGTCTGCTTCCCCAACCTCCTGGTTGCCTGCTGCAGTGTGGGTCAAGGGCATGGGGTGGAGAGAAACGGGGTGCTAGGAGCTAGGGAAATGGCTTGGCGTGAATGTGCTATCTCTAAACCATCTTTGGCTAGGCTCCCATTTTATTAGGTGGATGATAAGCCTGCCATCCCTGGAGTTCCTCCTGTGTCTTGTGGTAAGGCTACACGAAGAGGCTTCAGTGGGCTCTTGAGGATGTCTTCTCAGGGGTCTTGGGAGTAGCACTAGTGGGCTATACAGGTGTGTGGTTTCTCTCAGCATGAGGCAGGGTGGTGGGGAGGAAGGGCAGCCTTTGGGGAGCTGTAACTCGGGCTCTGTGCCTTTTCTAGTTGGTGTCCCCTTGAGCAAGTCACTCAGCTTTCTGAGTCTTAATTTCATCCTGTTTCCTCTGTGATGGGGATAGTATTACCTTACAATAGGGACATCAAGTGCCTAGCATCGTGCTTGGTAGATGGAAGCTGTAGGCGGTGGTCATCATCATAATTATTAGATAAGGAGCCTGACTGGGACGCCTGGGTGGCTCAGTGGCTGGGCGTCTGCCTTTGGCTTGGGGCATGATCCTGGAGTTCCTGGACTGAGTCCCACATCGGGCTCTTTTTGCAGGAAGCCTGCTTCTCCCTCTGCCTATGTCTCTGCCTCTCTCTGTGTCTCTCATTAATAAATAAATAAAATCTTAAAAAAAAATAAGGAGGCTGACTCTCTGCTATCCATCAGAGAGGGGGGCTGAGATCAGGGTTTATGGAATAGTGCCTCTTTGAGAGGGTGCAAAGAATGTCTGCTCCTCTCCCGACTGCTTCCTGTTAGGTCCTGTTGGACACCATGTGGCTCTAATACCATGAGAGGACCTGATGGAGCTTTCCTCGTCAGGCTGTCATCAGCTCTGCAGGTCCAGATGATCTTGCTGTGGGTGGTGATAAAGCATGTCCAGGAGATTAAACTGAGTAGAGCCCCATCTCCCATGGTACTGGCAAGAAATCCCTTCCATTAGAGCATCTTACATTGATTGGCCAGGATAGGTTCTAGAGTATTTTCAGTAAAACATCAGTTTTACTAAGCAACTTGATGTGGTGGAAAGAATACAATATAATGTATCATAATACACAAGCCTGATGTAAGGCAGATTTTATATTTATTTATCTTTTAAAAGATTGTATTTATTTATTTGAGAGGGCGGGAGAGGGACAGTGAGCACAATTGCAGGGAGGGACGGAGGGAGAAGCAGACTCCCCGCTGAGCAGGGAGCCATCTGTGGGACACCATCCGTGCTGGGATCATGACCTGAGCTGAATGCAGACTTGTAACTAACTGAGCCACCCAGGCACCCCAGCTTTTATATTTATATTGCAAACAGTGCAGTATACAAGCCTGATATAAAACCCTGGCTCTGCCACTCACTCACTGTAAGAATTGGGGAAAATTAACTGACTTCTCTGAGCCTCAATTTTTTCTGCAAAATAAAGACAATAATCTGAGTAGTTATGAGGATGAAATGAAATGCCCCAGGCACAATAGTTTGCTAGGGCTACCATAACAACATACCACAGATTGGGGGACTTCAAAAACAGAAATTAGTTTTCTCATCGTTCTGGAAGCTAGAAGTCTGAGATCAAGCTGTCAGTAAGTTTGGTTCCTCCTGAGGCCTGTCCCCTTGGCTTGCAATGGCCAGCTTCTCTCTCTGTCGTCACATGGTCTTTCCTCGGCGCTTGAGCGCCACTGACGTCTGTGTTCCAGCTTCCTGTGCTTGTAAGGACACTAGTCATCTTGGATTAGGGTTTACCCTAATGACCTCATTTTAGCTAAATAACCTCTTTAAAGGCCCTATCTCCAGGGTGCCGGGGTGGCTCAGTTAGTTACACATATGCCTTCAGCTTGGGTCATGATCCCAGGATCCTGAGATGGAGCCCCATGTCTGGCTCCCCAGAACCAGGGAGCAGGGAGTCTGCTTCTCCCTCTCCCTCTGGCTCCCTGCAACCCCTCACTTGTGTGGGCATGTGCTTTCTCTCTAATAAATAAGTAAAATCTTAAGATGAATGAATGAATGAATGAATGAATGAATGAATAAATAAATAAATAAATAAATAAATAAATAAATAAATAAAGGCCCTGTCTCCAAATACAGGCACGTTCTGAGGAACCTAGGGCTAGAGCTTCCACATATGAATTTTTCGGGGATACAATTCAGCCCATGACACCAGGAGAAGCTTCTAGCCAAATAGTGGCTCCCATAGATGCTGACTATGAGGAGACCTGGACATTTCTTTCCCCAGCCTCTTTCTCCCTGCTCCTGGAATGTTTCTGTGGTTTGGGAGTTGGTAATTGTGCGGGGGGTGGGGGATAGTGATATTTTTCACAGAGTTCAGCAGTAAAAGCTGATTAATGGCAGGAAGGAAAACACAAAGAGCCTCCTCAGCGTTGCTCTCTAAGCAAAGAGTCTACCCTCATGCACTATTCTCGGACTGGTATTCCCGAGAAATTATTTGCAAGTTCTAGAATACGCAGAAAATGTGTGGAGACCAGGTCGAAAACATGCTGTGGTTACCACCCACCTCTTGTGCCTTTTGTGATGGACTGCTGGCCGCCTGAGTGAAGAAAGGTGGGCTAGTAGATATTTATAGACCCACGTAAGTGGAGGCTCTTTGGTGAGAAGGTCTCTCTCGGTAGCAATATTATTTATGTGCATAATCCCTGAAAGAGTCTAAGGAATCTTAAAACTGAAAGGCACTGCAAGCTGATTGTATGGGCCAGGTACGGTGCTGGATATTGAGGATAAGATTGGCTCTTGACAGGCTCTCTCCTCTCACAGAGGTCAGCTTTCCACAGCGTCCCGCACAGACACTGTCAAAAGTCCATGAGGCAGTAGCACTTGCCATACATCAGGTGAACTCAGGCCAGTGATTGCTGGCCCAGTGCTGGCACATTTGGGGGGCCGAGATCCTTGCTACCTCGAGGCCTCTCTGACTTCTGGATTTTCTCATAGGGGGTTGGACCTCTGTGCCACCTGCTCCACTCCTCAGGTTCAAATATCACTTTGTACCCGGGCCAGGCTGCCACCTCCTTTGGTGAAGAGCCAAATGGCTTCAGCTCCATCAGCTCATGCTCCCGGGGTACAGTTCCCAGGCCTGACATCATTCTGGGCGGGCCTCTTGCCATCTGCCACTGTCTCCCTAAGAGCAGAGCCTCCAGGATAGACCCAAGCCTGGAGTAGTAGAGCCCCCGGGGGTGGGATGAGAGAACAGCACTCCCCGCTAAAACCAAGTACCACTTCTTCTGGAAGTAGTAATATCACAGATAGTTTTTTAAGGGCAAGAGTCTTTTTTCTCAAATTTCTTGTGTTCGGACTCCTCATTAAGTCACCTGATTTCTCTCTTCTCCACATTAGGGTAGCATGATGAAGCCACTTTTCTCTCATGTTCTTATTTTTATGAATAATATTGTTCATTTATTTATAAACCTGTTGACCAGCTAGGGAAAAGCTTGATGTAGCAAAAGCCTTGTCCTAAATATATTATGGATTTCTTTTTCTTCCTTTTTTTTTTTTTTCTTAGAGAGCGAGGGAGCATGAGTCAGGGGGTGCTGAGGGAGGGGCAAAGGGAGAGAGAAAGAGAGAATCCCAAGCAGACTCCCCACTGAGTGCACACAGGGCTCAATCCCCACACGGGACTCAATCTCACGATCCTGAGATCATGACCTGAGCTGAAAATCAAGAGTTGGATGCCTAACTGACTGAGCCATCCAGGCACCCTTTATAGATTTCTAGAAGTCTGACCTGTGGTTGGAGCTGCAAAGAGGATGACAAGAGTTCCTTTGTCTTTCCAGACTAGTCCCAGGTCAGTATGAGCTCAAGGACAGGTCAGTGTCTTCTGCTCAATTTCAATCATTGAGGCATATTCTTACTTCTGGATTCCAGGTGAAAAGCCTTTGAATTCTCAAAATTAAAAATATATGTTATATATTTAAATCTCAGATTTAAAAATATATGTTATATATATACACATAACACATGAATATAAATGATAGTAATAGTCAGTATGCACTTTCAATGTGCAATGTCAGTCTGTGTATGAGGAAACTGAGGCAGAGAGATTGAGATTATCTGTCCAAGAACCCAGCAGTCAAGCCAAGATACAGACCCAGTTCATCCGGCCAGGATTCAGGGAATCAGTCAGGAGCAGTAACCAAGACCAACTGAAGCAGGAGGCAGAAAACAGAGGGAACCTCCACACCCACCCCGGGAGATGGTGGTATTCTACTTGGGGAACCAAATGAGTTGTACTTCAGCACACACACAGACACACATATACACACGCACATATGCCCCCCCCCACACTGTGTCAGGCAGATGATGGGGCGAGAGAGAACATAACTGGAATTCTTTTATTTATTTATTTGACAGAGAGAGAGAGAGACAGAGAACAGAGGGGAGGGGCGGGGGGTGGTGGTGGAGAGAATCTTCTTGATTTCTTCCTGAAGAGAGCCCTACATGGGGAGCATCTCATGACATTGAGACCATGACCTGAGCAGAAATCAAGAGTTGGATGCTGGGATCCCTGGGTGGCACAGCGGTTTGGCGCCTGCCTTTGGCCCAGGGCCCGATCCTGGAGACCCAGGATCGAATCCCACGTCGGGCTCCTGGTGCATGGAGCCTGCTTCTCCCTCTGCCTGTGTCTCTGCCTCTCTCTCTCTCTCTGTGTGACTATCATAAATAAATAAAAATTTAAAAAAATAGTTAAAAAAGAAAAAAAGAGTTGGATGCTCCACTGACTGAGCCACCAGGGTGCCCCAAGCATAATTGGAATTCTGATTTAGAGAGTCAGGGAAGGCTTTACCAAAGAGACTTTGGGGTTCAGACTTCTAAAGACAATAGAGTTTCAACAGTAGGAAGAATGGGGAGCCAATGCCTCAGATCCTTCTAGGGGCGGGATCAGCATGAACAGGGTTTTGGGAGGAGGCACATGGCGCAGCACATCCCTGAAGAGGGCTGGATGTGGCAGGAATGTCAGACCTGGGGAGGGGAGTTAAGCAGCGGGGAGCAGGAATGACAGACTCAGCAGCCTTGTGAAGCTGATTTCTGAGGCACCCCTTGCTTCAAATGCTCTCCCTCTCTCCAACTCCATCTTGGAGTTCCAGGCTAAGAATAAACATGTTTCCCCTGAAGTGTTTATTGGTCCCTGTGGCGGGAAGGGCACTCCCCCTCTCCTGGGGCTGCTAGAGTGAGTTCGGTTCTCTGGAGTCACCCTTGCCAGCAGCCTGTTGTTATTTGGTGCCAAGCACCCTGGGGAGCCCCAGGAAGGAGAGGTGGTGCCCTGCTCACCTCCGTCCCTTCTCGGAACCCTGTTTCTGAGCCTGCCCCTGGGCATCTCAGTGCTCACGGCGGCCTCCTTCCTCACTCCTCGCTTCCCAATGCCCCTCCGGCTAAATTAGTCCATGGTCTTGCCCCTCAGCCGATCCCAAGAGGCCTTGGCGCTCCCTGGGCAATAAATTCATCATACTCCGGGGAGCAGGGGGGACCTAAGCTGGAGCCATTACCTGGTCTTGACCCCTCACTGAGCTTTGCACTCCCCACTCTCAGAAAATATG